TATATATATATATATATATATATATATATATATAGATATGTATATATATATAATGGCAGATTTTGTAAGTTAATAACAAGAACATTATACATTGAGGGCCAATAGAGATATACACAGGTGCTTTGAAATTTTGGCGCATAGGGTCTACTTGTAAGTTGAGAAGTCCACATGGCATTTACGTGGTTCCCTTGTGGCATGTAGATAGAAAAAGAACGGATCTAAATAAATCCGGATGTGCACCTCTTAGGTGCTATCTTATGCCATGCAGATAGATACAAACATATCAATGATTGCCAATATAAATTATTTGTTTACATGAAGCATTCTTCCCATATCAAAATTTAGATATGGTTGAGCTGATAGAAGCGGCATGATCCAACATGCCGAACTTCTATATGCATGGAAACTCAAACACAAGATAATTCTTAACCTCTCCCTTTTTATCTAGAAGTTTAAGGAAACAGATACAACAAGGTTTTTAATCAATCCTAACACTCCCCTCAAGTGTAAACTGGACGGACAACTCAAGCCCAAAACATTGTGTAGTTTGAGCATCCAAGCTACTACCTTCTACAGTGACATCATCATGTTTTAAACTTTCATCACTGTCAAATGTATCTAATTGCCTAAGCTTGAGATGGTTTTGGCAGCTACAGAACATTTAACAACATAAATAATATGTTACGAATATTTATGTTCCACATTTATTTCTTCCATAATTACTAGTAACTTTCTTAGCACAAGATAGGAGAAATCAATAAAAAATAAGTACCAAACGTTCCACATGAAAGCCTGCTACTTAGCAACATAAATATACGTTATCCCCCGATTACACCAACTATATCCTAGCTCCAAGATGAGTGGAGACATACCTTATGTGAGATACTACACTTGTGTTAATAAATCAGAATCTATTGCTGCTGAAATATAAGGCAACAATCGAACATTTATATTTTAAAAACCAGAGCGAGTTCTGAATGAAGATAAGGACAGCAAGACCAGGGCTTTGGTTGCAGAAAACCTCCACCCAAATCAGATTGCAGCGGAAAGTGAAGCCCTTTCAGAGCAGAATATCACTACAAGATCTGAAAGGGGCTACGAGCGAGCAAAGATCAGCCACAAAGAGAATTCTCACTCAAATATCACCGGATTCAAGCTCCATCCCATACACCAAACTAAACGTACAGCTCAACAGTATTCGTCGCGACAAAAAAAGCTGCTAACCAGAAATTAAACCCTAGGGTTTATATCGAACTTGGGAAGAACGGTGATACGGCACAGTACCTTGGAGGGATCGACCTTCGGGAAGTTCTTGACGACGGTGACGATCCGATCGGCGACGTCAGACTTGTCTAGGAAGGATCCCATCGCTTCGTCGGAAAAGCGGCGGCGGATGAGGCCGGCGAAGGAGAAGGCCGCCACCGGCGCCGCCTGAGAATCCACCCTCACCCTCAGGTGCCTCAGAAGAGCGCCTCTCATCGCCGCCATCGTCGCCGTCGGAGAAGCAAGACGACAACCTCGAACCAGCCTTGAGATGACGCCAAAGTGGCAAAACAGACTGGTGGAGATGATACATATCGTTTTCGGATATAGCAATCATCACGACTGTTACAATCCGTTGTTTCTCGTTGTAACAGCCGTTATAATTTCGTTACTAATATATGTACAAAAGTTGAGGACATTTTCTACGTCATAACTATAAAAACAAAATTATAGAAAAGAATAATCCCATGCATACATAGCGTGTAAATTTATTATTATATTACCATGCAAATTTAAAATTCTTAAATTTTTTTAAAACTTGATAAAAGTTTTAAATTTAGACAAAATATTTATTAATAGTACGAAACACCAATGAAATAATACCATCAACTCTATTATTGTCTTCCTCAGAATAAATAAAATAAAATCAAATTGAAACCAATAATTTAATTTTTAAAAATTATAAATGATTCTAGTCGGAGATATTCTTCGGATCAAATTGATTTTATAAATTTTTTTTGGATACTTGAATTCCATAAATTGATAATCAAATCAGACGTTGATGAAATTAGATCAAGATTGTGATCACGTTCAATCGATTTATTGGATCGAATCAATTTATTATATATATATATATATATATATATTATTTAAATAATAAGTTGAGTTTTTAGTTGGATCTGAACACCCCAACCCCTAACAGGTGGGAAGCAACTCTCCTTAGCACACCATTTTAGAGCAATTCAGAATAATATAAACATTATTAGCTCATTTAGATAAACATGCAATGACAAAATATGATAAACAAATTCATTTAAATCAAGTGAATGTTCCACTATTTTGCTGTAATGAGAGAGAGAGAGAGAGAGAGAGAGAGAGGTGAAACAATGAATGAATGGAACATGAGTGCTCTGTCCTCTCCCCAACGTGGGACTACTGATACATAGTTGCAAGAATTGCATGAACTAGGTTGGCTTGCACAGCTTCTCCACCATCTTCCTGAACTCTGCATTAGAAACAGGGACACAGCATTCAGAAACACAAACGAGGGATTGATTTCTTGGATCTCAAAGCAGGAGAGGATGATCATCGCGTCATGCACTCACCCTCTTGATTCACCCAAAGTGCTGCTGCTTGGGTGTTGAGAGGCGACTCATTGTTGGGTTCTGCAACAATCATCATCACATCAGCACTCTCATATCCTAATGGAGTAAAACTCTTGCGTGTATCCATCGGATCTCGTGCTTACCTCCCAAAAGGCTCTGGATTGACAGCAGAATGGTTCTCACGTCATACGCAGATGACCATTTATCCTGATGATCCAAAACAACCATCGAAATTGATGCAGATTGCATAGAGAAGGAGGAAAACATGGGGACTTCCATCTGCCGCGTACCTGAAGAATGTCCAAGCAGATGTTGCCATAGACGTCGACGTTGGGATGGAAGCAGGCGGTCTCAAACTTCACCTTTGGAGGCTTCATCGGGTAGTCAGTGGGGAAGGCGAAGGAGAGCTTGTAGACCATGCCTTCGTACGCTGTCTCTTTGCTGCCATGAATGGTCCCTTTCCAACAAAAGATGTTGTCTCCCTCCGGAAAGGCTGATATCCCCGGATCCCCACACATCTGAACAACACAAGCAAGTAAACGACGGGATCGTCAAGAAGACGTGCCATATTAGTTGACGAATCCCAGGAGTAATCTTCTTCTTGCTTACCATCAAGGACATGAGCTCCGACTGCAATCTGTTTGATGAAAAGAGAGCAAGAGAGTCAAGGTCAGCGTGAAGTAAAAAGGATACAAGAAACGAAAGGATGCAGAGACTGGATCTCGTAATTCAAAGAAGAGATCTTTCGGCGGATTAGACAGAGAGGAAGGATGGTGAGAGGCAGAGAGATAAATTTGCTGCAGCCTAAATGATCAAAGAGCGATCAGAACCAGATGTCGTCGTCAAAGATGACATCTTTACCTCCGATCGAGAAAAACAGATGGCTATAGTGCAAGATGAGTCACAAGAAGAAGCAAGATTGGAAGGACAATGGAGAGCTCAAGAGTACACAAGGAAAGATGAAGATGAAAAAGGAGAATTCGTTTCTTGATCTTTCAGAAAGAAGAAGAAGAAGAAGAAGAAGAGCCGCGAAAAGCAAGCAAGCAAGAAAGAGGAAGAGGAGAAGGGTGTAAGACCTCTTCAGGACAGAGTGGCCGTCGTGGCCCTTGGCGACAGGAGCCGGCTGCTTGGCGGCCGAGGGAGCAGTGGCGGCGGCGGCGGGGGTGGTGGTGGGGATGTTGTCGTGGACGTCTGGGTTCTCTCTCCTCGTCATTTTGGGTGTCCTCCCTTCCCTTCCTGCCTTCCTCGCTTTGTATTGGATCACTGAGAGCGAGAGTGAGAGAGAGAGAGAGAGAGAGAGAGAGAGACGACGAAGAGGTGGGTGGATTTAAAGAGGGGAGGGATTGGGCGAGAGAGCCGTCGGTCCTCCATTTTGACCGTTGCCTGATTCCCCTTCGCCAACGGCTAGTTCCTTGGATTAAAAATGTTCTCTAAAGAATATTAGCATTTAAGACAATAGTAAGTCAAAGTAGTCCAATTATTTAGGTCAAGTGTGTAAATATATTTTTGGGTAATTATTTAGGCCAGAGAAGGTTTTTAATTGGGATCCTTGAAAAACTCACTAAACAATATCATTTTTAATAAATATATATTTTTATCTTAAATTCATATGTGTCTTGATATGTCATGTCTATCTTTCTTTGTTATATCTTATGATCTCTTTATTTTCTCTATCATCTTTTGCTCTTATCGATAATTTGACTTTTTCTTTGAGAATAATTCTCATCTTCGGCTTCTTTCATTATTCTCACCCTCTTATCTTTCTCTTCACAAATGATGTTAATTCTTTACTTGAGAACAACCCATCAACTTCCTTTGCTATCGTCTCGTAATGCTCATGAAAAATGTTATTACTCCCGTTTTCAAAATCATACTGAAAATGTGTTACATTTAAATATAATTATCTCTAAATTTTCATAAAAAAATAGAATAAAAAAAGTTTATTGATATAAATATCTTCAATAAATCATTATTGATTCACTATTTGAACACTGTCACACTTATAAATGAATATTGTTACACTTTTTCAAAATAATACTAAAACTAAGTCAAATTCGAAAAATAAATATCCCTGATTTCATACAACTAGTGAATCAATGTTTTTTTGTCTGTGAATTCAAAACATTAATACCCAAATTTGAAATCTTCTCAACATGATCTTGAAAATGAGTGTAACAGCCATCATCTATGAGTGTAAGGACATAAAATTAGTGTATTTCCATTTTACCTCAAACTTTCAGAACTAACAGCATCCAAATAGTGAGGCAGTAATGTTAAAGTGGTGAAGTCCACCTGATAGAAAGATTAAGACCCTCTATAAAAGCAAGAGGAAGAAGGCAAGAGAAGAGAAAGAGAATACTAGTTTACCTTCTCGACATCGGACCAACCCATAGGCCAAATTACATTAATACTCAAAGAGAAAGAGAAGAGAAGAGTGTGACTAAACCGAAGGCAGCCACAGCAGCAGCATAATTGTCCCATCTTCATCTTCAACAGTTGAAAGTAGAACGTTTCACTTCTTTTTCTCATTCTACGACATATCATCTAGCAATAAAAAAAAGTGAGTATTCACGCATCTCTACAATATTGCACATAAACAAAATCGAGTGACTAATGAACAGCATATCAAGCAAGAATGTGTAGCTGTGATGTTTTTCTACATTCACTGAAGGGAGCACTCGAAGAAACAACTGTCCTCAGCATCATGATTAGCAAGTCTCACTAGACTCCTCATGGACTTCACCAACTGCAGGATGATCAATCATGTCAATGCTTTTATCCCCAGAGAACTTTATTTTGAAAAACATAAACAATATCTTGACTCGCTTCCAGACCTGGAAGATCTACAGCTAAAGCTGCCTGGGAACCAGCATCAGAATTCATTGCCTTCACCAGTAATAAAGAAAGGCAATTTTATTACATACATTCAATGACAAAAGAAGGCATGATATGAGACGGTTTTAATTTTAGGAGAAATAGTCTAGTGCATGATGTAATGATACGGTATTTAGGAACGGTATCTTTATGCAATTTGACCAAGGTACTGTTTTTGTAACTCGAAACTCTCATCCATGAGGTTGCAGAAAAGAAGCTTGACGTGATGCTACCGGAGAACATAATAAGCAAATCATGGCACTTCCTAGATCAGAAATAAAACTAACTTAAAGATTGATATTGTTGCTTGAATGAAGCATATTACATTGTTTCATACTATCATGCAATGTTTTGTGTGCAACTTTCTTTGACTTTAAATTGTCAATAGAATGGCATTCTCCTCCAATGGAAGGTGATAAAGAAAACTAACATGAGACACTTTTCTCATAGTATCAATATATAGCTTAGTTAACAAAACCTGACTGAACCAGATGGTCGAACTGAGAAAATTGGAATTGGATCATTAACTGATCTGATTCACTTATTGGATCAATTATGTTAAAAACCGAAACAAAACAATTGGCCTGGTTGGTTGTTGGAATCGGCTGGGTTACATAAAACCGATCCGAATATGCAATTTAGCTAATATTATGTAAGTACTCTTAGCTTAAATCTTTCTTATTATTTGCTTTATAGGACACGGCAATTTAATAAGGATTAAGGTGAGAAAAAGACGATCTTCCTTATGTGATCATTTCTCCCCAACCTCTCTTCCTTCGGTCATCTTCCCCCGTTGTATCCTCATTTCCCTCCACCACCATTCTCTCTTTCTACCCCTCCTCTCCGTGTCTTCTCTTCACCTCCTCTCTCCCAAACCCTCTTTTTTCTTCTTTTTGTATCTTCTTTTTTTTTCTTCTCCTTTGGTACTCTATGGTCTGCTCCTCTTCTTGTGTCGCTCTTGTTCCTAAGGTGATCTTCTCGTTGTTGTCTCTTTTATTGTGCTTCATTTTATTAATGGAACTTTCACTTTGATTTTCATCATACATGGACGTTACTTCTATATCAATATTCTTGCTCAAGTAACTGAATTACGTATTAACTTCTTAACTTTTAAATATTATCACATGTTATTTAATTTGGATAAAGATTTATACTTATAGTGTTGGTTGATTGATGTTATTATTTGTCATATTCTGTACAGTTGAAGGTTTATTTTCATTTGCTTAAGATTGTTCTTTTTTATTAATTTTAGTATTTTAGAGTTTTAATACATATAATTTTAAATTATTTTATATAATTTAAAATATTCATTAATTAAACATGCAGTCCGACTAATTGACTGATCGACTTGACCGACTTACTCAATGACCCAAGACTTGGTGAATCGCTTCCTGATTTGATTACTAACTATGCGTTACAGTCACATGCCAAAATGATACAAAATGAATATATATGAATAAAAGATATTCTACATACCTTTTTAATGTGGCTTATACTAAATGATACAAACATCTCCTTGAGTGCTTTGGCTTCCTCACACAAGTCAACAAGATTCTTGTTCTTGGCTTTAGACAAACCTTGCACCTGTTTGTGAGAAGCATGGAGCATTGTTGTTAGACTAAAGATGAGATTGCAGGTAGATTAAACTGAACTAAAGAAATGTTCGGTTACATTCAGAATGGCCTGCTGATAGCATGCTTGCACATAGAAAATGCCATTCCCTGGATGGTTGTAAGATCCAATCCAAATGCAATACAAGTTTAAATGCTTAGGCATAGTGGAAGTTGTAAACTACTTGTTCTAGACTTTTTCATTAACTGCAGCAGTCCACCAAAGGTCCAACCTTGATGCAATTCAAATTAATATGCTTAGACATGAAGATCTATAATTAACTGCAGCAGTCCTAACTTTAAATTTTTTTTCATATTTTTGTGTTTTAGAAGATATAACCGTTAAATATGATACTTATGTTTCTACTTTCTTTTCACATCAGCAATGTTTCTACTTTCTAGTTAGGTAGTCAACCCTATTTGACAAAGGGGGATACAAACTATCAGTCCATCCTTCTCTTACATGCATACAAAGGAAAGGAGGAGAGAATGGAGAAGCTGAAAGTAAATATCTACAAATATGAAAAACATGCCAGATGACTAACCATCCAATGTAAGAAAACAGTTGAAGAGATAGTCAAATACTATAACATGTTGAATTACAAACCTGCATACAGACAAGCTGAGAGTCACCTAGAACATGAATTTGCTTAAATCCTTTTTTAAGAGCATGCCTCAGGCCTAAAATTAATGCCCTGTAGTCAGCAGTGTCATTGGTCACAGCACCCAAGCCTTCACGGAGTCGAGAAATCTATTTTCAGACATAAAAAAAAATAATATAAAACAAAATCATCTAAAATATAAGACAAAGTTAAAAGGATGATCTATATTTACCACACTTCCATCTTCAGTTCGAAGGATTACACCAGCACCACCTTTACTAGCTTTTCCTGCTGGAGCCCCATCAAATTCAAGAGTACATGACATCTGTAGACAAATAGATGAAATTGATCTGTTGCTGGTTGATACATGAATTCATGAAAAGACAGAAAGAGAAGTAATTAAACTTGGAAGCTCTAGAAAATGACCGCCATAACATATAAATAGATAACCATGAAAAAAATTAAATTTATTGTGCATAGTGACATGACAATAAAATGGTTGCATTAGTTAGCTTATGATGTTCCATTATTCTCCAAGAACATGAGGCATCATCTTAAGACATGTAGGAATTAGTGAGAGCACCATTACTACACAAATAGTTCAACTCTTCCTTAAAATTTAGACCTAAGTTTGGTTTGAAACAGTAATAAAAGAATATGAGGGCATATCCTTCACAAACTTCAATTGAGTCGAAGAACCATGCACACTGCCGTGTATTCAATCTAGTTTTTGTTTGTTTGCTAGACCTTAATAATGTTTTCCACACAACATTGTCAAACAGAGGAAGTCTTTATGTTCAAATGTCATTTCAAGTTATAAAATTGAAGATGAGTTAAACTACGGGCGATTTCCCGAGAAAAGCCCCAAGTTTTGGATTTTCCGGGACCGCACCTCCCGTTTTATATTTCTCAAAGAGGGCGTATTTTCTTTGTAAAAAGATTATAATATCCTTATTATAAAAGGAAAAGTTGCTGCCAAAACCTAATTCGGACCAAACTGAACTTTTGGCTGAAACAATCCAGTATTATGCAGAACCGATCATAGTGTTTTTGAATACTGAACAAAAAAAAAAAAAATGTATCTTCATTTAAAAACATTGTAATTAGAAAATGTCTCATCCTTTTTTTTATTGTCATTCCTTCACAATCACAAATATTATAAGATTTCTTAAATATTTAGACCTAAATTTGAGATAAAATGAAATTTTCAGAATTTTTATCATGCATTGTCGTGGAATATAATTTTCATCTAAAACCATTCAATTTCTCATACAAATTATTTTTCAATACTTCAAAACCTATAACAAGGTTGATGGACATCGATAGTGAAAATTTCAATTAATTGAAACTTATTTACATTGTTTTTTAATAGAATTACACTATTTTGGTTCAGTGATATCATCAAAAACCAATTTAAAACTCTCAAATAAATCCCTTGAAACATACAATAAGGTTGATAATTAAGATTGATGGGATTTCTAATTAATTAAAATAGGGTTGCAGTGTTCAGAAACACTGTCATAAGGAACACTATTCAAAAACTTTATACAAGTATTATACCAAACCGTTTAGCTGGTTCAGTCTTAGCTATGTTTTAGTGGTAATTTCAAAAATTAAAGTAGCTTAGCTGTCAATGAGGTTATTTTTATCATTTTGAAAAGTTGAGATATCTTTATGAATTTTGGAAATGAGAAGGCCCACCCGAGAAAAACCAAAACTTAGAGCTTTTTCTGGGAAATCGCCTTTAGAATATCTATTACATATCCGTTCAATGAGCATATATCTGTAATAAGAATGACAAAGTTATGGAGAAGAACATGTAAGCAGAAATAACTTTTCATCCATCAGTAAAAGAATGACATGGCAAGTAATGAAAGAGAGGCCCTTCCAAGCACATTGTAACAGAACAACATGCTTTAAGCATCCTTTCAAAAAAATAACTCACAGACTTATCAGATGGTTGTTTTTGCTGGCTGGAATACTCCGATTTGAGATGTTCCTTCACTGGTTCATCTGTGATAACACTAATCTTTTCAGGCAAATCTGCGATAGGAATAGCTACAGTAGGTTCCTGCATGACAACAAAAATAGCCAAATAGAACTCAATAAACAGCTTGAAAAAAAGAATACACAAATGGATGATCCAGCAACCTCAGAAGGAAAAAAAAGGAAGTATGATCTCAACATGGTGCTTGTCTTGTGAAAGGTGAGCCACATTATATTTTTTACTGTTATTACTTTTAATATCCAGTGTCAATGCTACACCGGAGTAGCTATGTAGCATCATGGCTTAGCACATGTTCATGTGCCATTCAAGCAGGCTGCCCTGCATTAATAATGCCAACAAATAGAACACTGATATGGGAAACATGCATTAGAACAACAAACTGGAAGGATAATGGGACACGGAAGCAGCTAATCTTCTTAACACAGCCATCCAGTTTAGTTAAATAATTTTAATGGCAAATTTAGAATTTACTTAGTGAGCACCTGGAGAGATGAACCTGTGTACCAGAGAAAAAACTGCAGCAAGTTTCAACTCCTTTTGTATATCTTTAAACAACTTTTCACTTGACTCATTCAGATATCGAGTCCTAGTAACTAACTTCTCATAAGAGAAACAGCTAATAAAGATGTAATGCACTTGTAATCCTATTGATATAAAGCATTGCAATGAATTCTAAATCTCTCCTCCATTTTGAGAAAATGAAAGCATTTCTTAATACGTAAGCTGCATTACAAGACAACCAATGTAGGTAAATTATATAGTACCTGAAAAGGACAAGGAACTAGGATTCCAAAGAGATCCTCTTTTAAATCCTTTGCATTCAATAAATATAGAGCATTCTTTAATCCACAGGAAGCAAAATATGTCTCCGCTTCTTTCTCAAGTGAATAACCTTGGTATCCATTAACAAGAGGATCACTTATCTGCCAGAGAGGTCAATCATGCATCATAGCATAACAGGAAACCCAGGTTACTATTGTTTAGAATGCAGCATGAATTGATACATAGGTAACAGTTATCTGGCATTGTAACTTAATAGCAAACAAGCATCACTCGAGAAACAGAACTTGATAAACCATTTAAACAAAGAATATATGTCAATAACCACATGAAACCACTTGAACAGAGCAACATACATCCATGTCCACATAGAACAATTTTTGTACAAAATCTTCATAATGATGTACAACATTTTATATGCAATTGGTCTTCAATGATACAAAGAAAGAAAGAAGAATCTCCATCAAACAATGTTGGTGATTACAACATTAGAATTTAATATGCACGTAATTACCTAGTTGAGCATAACTTCAATCACAATTTAAAAATCTGATTTTACTTTTATAACATAATAAAATACAAACGTGCAAAAACAAATCATCAAAACAAAATTTACAAGCTCTCAATGTTGGATAATATACTTTTTACAAGCTAGAACATTGGTCCAAAATGGGTAAAGATCAGGCCAATATTAGGATCCTTTTATTTTCTGAGCTTTTGAATAATGTTTATTGAGTCTGTTTAGTTCAGTTAAAACTGAATAGAGGTTTATTTAATATTTATTTATTATTAAGAGTCCAAGTCCTGGTGGACTCTAGGTGGAACTCTATAAATAGTGATGTAACCGTTCCTTTTCGGTAGACAATGAAATATTATTCAGTCTTTTGACTAACCCCAGGAGGCCAATCCTCTCGAAGTGATCAAGGAGGCCGATCCCCTCGAAGTGATCATCCATTTTCTCTTCTTTCTTCTACGATAAAACCCTAGGGTCTTATTAACCAATTTAGAACCATATATATAAGGCAGAAACCATAGCCACAAAGCAATTTAAATCATTTTAAAAAACATAAAAGCAAAAAAACAAGATTAGGTGGAAAATTCTAGACAGGATTTGAGAAGAAAAAAGCCAAACAATGAGAATGAAGAAGTCAGCAAAGACATTGCAGCATGCTTTTGTCAACTTTGAAATGCACTGGTCATTTAGACGGGCAAAGAAGAATGATTCCTCCTTAAATGGGCTGATCACTCTAGCATCATAAATGCAGTGATTCATCTCAAACACCTATCAGAAATAATGTCACCACAAGAATATGAAAGTTGTAGATAAGTTGAAGATACATCATTAGAAGATATCCAAGAAAAGATTCCTATATAGACAGTGGTAATGAGTTGACTTGAATAACTTATTTTAAAGAAAAAGAAATTCACATAGCTATGCATATTACGAAGGAGCTAACTTGAGATTGACAGTCACTTAAACTCAGGTAGGGACCAACATGATTCCCTTTCCTAACATCATATAAAGCATCTCCTTTTTCCTCGATCAATTCTTGGCGATTTACATTCAGAGATGGCGAAGAACGTGCATGCCCAGTAGAGAAGAAGCGGAAATATAGTCCAGTTGACTTGAAATTTATTCTGAGCAATTTAGTTCCAGCTTTCCAGCCAGACAATGAACTCATGATGACATAACCTGTTATGATTGGTTGTTCAGTTCATAGAAGGATTGCGCTTCCTACATAGTTTAAATGGGAAAATTTATTAGAACCAACATATAAGCAAGCTATACAACAATCATAAATACTGACTGAACAAATTGTGTTTTGTGTGTACATTTTAATAATGTTGAGTTTCATCAGCATGATAGAAAGCAAAATATTTTCCTAAAGGCTCATTTGAAAAGGATGAAATAAATAAATTTTATACCAAAAAAAAAAAAGAAATCTATAGATGTTGCACAGCTTAATGGTGGAAAAAGATTCATGTAACAGACCCCATAAACTTAGGATTTCCAATTGTCGTGTTATTTTGCTAGATACTCAAAATTACACAGATCTGTTTTATCTAATCAAGCTTATCAGTAACATAACTTTTGAATGTTCTAATCCTAGTCTACTTATCCTAGTTGGCAATTGCATGATTGTTATATATAACTAAAGATCTAAACCATATATATTTCCAATATTGCTTTTCTTCAACAATAATTTCACGTTGTTAGATTATTATATTTCTATCAACCTTTGGTAACTATAACATAATATAATGTAATAAGTCTAAAGGGATAGCTGCCATATCATTTCTTCCCATGTTTGTCTCCATATACCATTTCATAATTTCCTCACTCGACTTGTATTGGCCATCAAAATCGTCTCCTATTACTAACACATTTTGGTAATTTCTGAAGATATCCATCCACAATTTTTAGCACACATGGTGGCTAATCTTGCTTGACGAGTATTTATATATCTTTCTCTTAGTACTAGTTTCATTATTATCATGATATCACCGTAAAATCTCTTATAATTCTTAACAGTTTATCTACTACATGCTAATTTTATTTCCAGTATTGTTCCAAGGTAAACAATGTTGACTTTGTATTTATTTTTTCATCATACCTCGGCATTTACCATTCCTTAGCATTTATCTTTGCTTGCAATCCTATATTACTATACTTCTCCACACCAAATCAAGATGTGAGAACCGAAGGTCAATTGTGATTATATATAGACAGTAATACAAATTGTCATTTCCAAGCATACTGAGATCAGGAAGAAACAATACATTACATTCTATTTAATGGCGCTGTTTCTATAAAACAACTGAGAACCAAAGTACAAAGAGATTGGCTGCAGCTCTGCAAATTTCAGAAATCAATCATACACTAGGCAACAGAAAAATAAAGTGACTCCTCAGATGAAATACTGGATGATGAATATTAGAATGAGGAGGAACAAAAGCAAATATTTACTCCTCACAACCTAAATTTAATGAACAAAATGGCTCACGCGTACACTAATCACTTTCTATGCAACTTAACATGATTTTTTTAAAAGTTTAATCTCATAAAGCAAGAAATTTCTGTTTATTTTTTTCTTAACTTTGAAATAGGATCTACAAGAACAATGGCATGGTGTTAATGAACATAAAGCGTTTTTAGGTAAACTTGACTCTATATTTTTTGACTTTGTGGCTTCATTATTGTGAGTTTTCCTAGTTGTTTCTTGAACATGTACCACATAATGAAGCCATAATAATAATTTTAGTTAGTTATTATGTCTAAATCTCAACACATAACTACACATGGAGTCATAATTTTATATTTACAATATTAGCCTTTTGCATGCCTTAGTTCTTACAATGAAGATACTAAATAATCTTAGCTGAATCAACATAAGATAACACATAATAATAAAATTGAAACATGCATTTATCAGAATTACATTTATATATGTGTGTATATATTATTTATATAGTAGCCTAAGCAATGTAAGATTTGTGTAAAGCCTAGGAAGTAATCCAAACAACGAACCAATTGTTGAAAAACAATAATTTATTCCTAGATTAACCTAGTCAAACAAATAGTAAAAATGGATCTGAAAAATGTTGATTGGCTCCAAAACCGAGTTTGTTTGATATCATGATGCACACACCACACATTATTATTAACAACATAATCTCCACACGTCACAAAGTATTTTAACAACAAACATCATAAACACTACAATATACCAAATTTGATTGTTATCCTAAGATCTCTCAGATGCCCATTGTAGGTTAGCTAGTTTAAGAAGAACACTAAACAGCCAATGTTCTCCAGATAATCAAGAATAGTATCCATGTTTATAAAAAGTGTTCAAAAATGGTCAAAAGAGCAGATATATTTGCAGCAGAGGCAGTAGCAGCAGCAGCAGCACACTCTTTCATGCGTTAAAGCCATGGCCATAAACAAATTGCATTTCAGTGGCCTTCACTGATACCCAGCATTATATTGATTTTTTTTTTTTTTCAGCTGAAGAAGTTTTCTGCAAATCCATTACACATGGACGCTTTTTTCCTTTATTTGAAGAAATTGATAGGACATGATCTAAACTGCAACCACCCGAGGACCCCTGTTTCATGTTTCAATAATGATCGGGAGTCCATCCTTCTCTCTGCAGTTTCTCTTTGCTTAAACTTCGGACTGTCAGAGCACGACACCCCATGCTCAAACTGGACTCAGACCATGCTACTATCTATCTTGCTTGATCTTGTCAACACAACTCCTAACAGATTGGTCAAACACCGCAACACCAGATTAAAAAAAAAAAGCTAGAAATGCTTAGAAGACTAAGAATGAATGCCTAAACAGAATCACAATCTCCTATTTCCCTAATGATCAATCTCACCCCAATTTGATCTAACAGAAGCGAACAAAAAGTATCATAAAAGAATCCTATCTCAATCTAAACAAACTGTGAGCCGAAGGAAAATTCCTGGAAACAGCCCACTCATTCAACCGCCAGACAATCGTGGGACGATATTAACCTTTTCAGCAAAAGGAAGGTCAGAAATAATAAATTCCACGACAAGTGACGGAAAAAGAATAAACTATGTGTACCTCCACTGCCTCAAACAGAAGCCGACCCCACGAATCTCGACGCCCTTCAGGTAAAGGCGAACGCAAGGCCAAATCTTCCGAGGATGGACTAAGAAGGGGCGACCAAGGAATGGCAGCTGGGGAGGGAGAGAGTCCAAGTTGCCCTAGTCGCCGCCCTTTTTGTGACCCCTATACAACATCCTTTTTGTCCTCTAGTTGTCTATGGATCATCTTACTGCTTCTACATAATATATTTAGCATAAGGTGAGTCTCCACCTAACGGCATCTTTTTTCGCCCGTTGTTATGTGCTTTTGAATAACCGTTTTTTGTCACATCAATAAAAATATTATAAATATATTTAAAAACATTATAAATAACTCAAATCAATTATATTATCAAATTAATCTTTAAATTATATATCATAATAATGTCCGAATAAGAACAACAAAATAGGAAGATAGAATTATGTCATTTATATTTTTTAAATAATTTATAGTATTTTTACACCACTATAAAAAATTGTAAATCTATTAAAAATAATATAAATTATTTAAATGAACGGCAAAACACAGTACAGACAAATTAATAATTAAGATTCAAATAGATATCTTTAATAGTTTAGGAATAACAAGATGGAAATAGGGATAAAAAACATGATTATTATAGTGTTTTTTGTGGCCTCAACAAAAATTCTGCAAGCCTATTTAAAGTATAGTAAATGACCCATATGGCCTTATAATCTCATAAACCAATTATATTATCAAATTAATTTTTAAATTAGGTATCATAATGATATACGAGTGCTACTGTTTTTTTCACCTGTACAAAAATCTACAGAAAACACTGGAAATTAATCAAATAGACTGAAATCACAGTATAAATTCAAATAGGTATCATTACTTGATAAAAAAAAGACTCAAATATATATATATATATATATATATATATATATATATATATATATATATATATATATATATATATATTAG